TGGTCTCTGACCAGTAGAGCTAAAAAAAACCCTGTCTTTTTACTATTGAGTTACACATCCCCTAAAAATGTAACGCATGTTATAAGAAATTTATTGTCGAAAATCACCCAATTGTGAAATTCCAAAAATATTGGACCATTTAGATTGCTGTAGGAATTAATTATAAGGTCTATTATTGTACGCCCGTCCTAAGAAGGGACGTATTATTTCAATGTCAAATACTTCTAAAATTGCGATAATGCAGAATAAATAATCAGTCCATGAGTTATAGACGCAAATGATTTTTGGGGTCAAAAATAGCAATGCTTAGATTGCTAGTATGTTTATTTTGATGGTCTGACATCAGCTTGTAGTGTAATATTCATAGACGTCTTGAACATAAAAGCGAGTCATGTGTCATTCTTCACTATTCATTCATAAGGATATGGAGAAACGAACAGTGTTCAATATAAATGCCCATGAAAACATTTTTCTCGTACTTTATTCTAAGAAAACCGCAGAAAAAAGTCCTATGAACTAATTGCATTTTTAATGAATTCCTCAGATTTACCTTCTGCATTCACCGCCTTTTCCTGCATATCCATATAATTGGATACACCAGGAACGGACAAATTTCTTCTAGTGAAGTACAGCCTCTCTCCACCACCAGTGGATTTTCTGATATGACATCATTGTCCAGCTCACTTAAGTCTTCAATGTCACTTTTTTCGTCTGAAGAAAAAAACATATACGTATACTGCCTTTTTATATCAAACATTTAGATTTCAATTCTGTTTCCAACATGGCACAGCGCATAGAATCCTGCTCTAGATTCGTGGAGTAAGACTACGGGTTCCAATCTGCTCTGGGACGTGAAGACGTGACCTTCAAATGAGATTATATGAACGAAGACACGTGTTCCAGTACCTGTAGGTATGAAAATGATTCCTCACTTCTCAATAGCTCTGAGTGCCTAGTGTAGGTATACATTTGCAGCCCTCCAATGTCGAAGAGTTGTATCTCCATATGAGCAAAATACTCTCGAGGGAATTTAAACAAGTTTTTAAATTATTAATTACGAAGATTAACCTTGTTCCAATGTTGTTTTTTTAAATCCCTCAAATTTTTATGCATACAATAACAAATCAGAAAAAAAGAAAGAATTACCTGTGTCATGTACCCAGGGAAATTATCTGATATTCCTTGAAATATGGGTGTTGCAACTGATGAATCAATTCCTAGAAGCTTCTTATTACTGTGATATAATTCCAAGAAAACAAAATTAAAATATAGAGACAATAACTAACAATACATCAAACAGATTCCAAATAATAAATAAAAAGGATTTATATATTATAAATGATTAAAAACATAAAGCACAGCTTATTCTAAAAATTTACCTTCTTTGTCTCTGTTAGAAGAAACAAGTATGTACCTATAACCTAAATATGATTTGATTTTGTGCATTATACAATTACTATAATTTTATTAATCAGAAAAAACCACAGAAAACTCAAATTTGAAAAAAGATAATATACCTCATCGGATACGGAGGTTTTAAAATACACAACTGAAGTGTCTCTGACTTTAAACTGCCAAGTCTTACAGTTAAATAATCTGATGGTTTGATCATCCACAGTGTTCCCATATCAAATGACTGGAATTCCTGTGTTTTGATAGGCCTTGCAATGTTCGATAGCAACGATGTGGTTCTCATGGATCCTATGTTGGTTGCTGGGCGTGTCACATGTTCCATCAATAATTATGCAATCATCCTTTTCTACAAAAACTGGACACATTGTGTATTTCCAGTATTTCTTAACGAAACATTTACTGGTTCTCTATTAAAGGATGGTCTTCTACATTTGTCTATAGGGTTAATCTGAATCTTTCTTTATGTTTGATGCAGTGAGTAAATTTACTTCTGTATTTTGGTAGAAATTCCTTGGGGGTCTAGATAATTATTCATCAAGTATAAGCCAGACCGTATATCTTCTATATCCACCTAAAGAAGTCTGTAGAGGAATAAGAAGTGGGGTTTTGGTTTATCTGGCTGATTTTGGCATGACATATCCGGATATTTTTTCTTTGATGTACCTTGATTTCGTGGAATATTTGAGTCGATTTAGTGGAATATCTGTGTATGGTGTAAAATCGTGCACTTCTGTATGACGTTTCGGACCAAAAATAAATTTGGACAGGTCTTGTATCCATCAGCAATGTTATCCAAGCTGCATTCTGGTAAGGACATATCACTGCAAGTATATGCTTAGTTGGCAAATAATGTCTTGAATAGTCAAGACAGGTACAGGTGGGTTCAGTATCTGAAAACATCACCTGATATATGTTGTTGGAGTCAACACTATTCACAGCATAGACTCTGTCTTCAACCTCTTGTATATTTTCTATGGGTATGTTTTGAATTCCAGGAGGAATTCTTTTGATGCCGTGCTCAACAAGCACGCTTAGTTCGCTGTGTAAAAATCTTAGAACACTTGGTGAATATTTCTTGCAAAACTCGTTAATCTAAGTATGTAAATGAGTTAACTGAAAAATAAAATAAAATTGGATTACTTAAAAATAACAGAAAAATAAAAGTGTGTATCTTATATTTATTTAAATTATATGTATACTCTTTTTAACATTTTATAGTACCTGTATTCTGAACGTTCACAAGAATGTTATTGATTTATTTTTTGGTATACACATATTTCCAATAGTTTGCCAAGACACTCTTAAGATTTTCTTTTGGTTTCTACTCTTGTACGCTCAATTATTTTATGATTCGAAAGTGGTATATTTGGTTACAAAATATAGTTAAAACAATTTCAAAATGTTAAGATTTACAACAGGAAAAATATGTATTGTCAGACAAATAATTAAATATAAATCAAATGCATCAGTGTAACAATTTTTTTTATCGGAAACATTTCATGTCAGCATATTTATCATGAAGTATTTTTGCACTCCCTGAAAAATGTCTGTTTGAAACTCGTAGATGTACCCTATGTTACAATAATATTTTTTAAAAATATGATTCTCTTTAATACGATGTCTCTATAATTTATATATTCTATTTTATGTGGTGTACCAGTAATGATGTCACAGTCTGATCATCTCTAGAATTTTCAGGGGTGGATGTTTTCTTAAGGACTTGATTTCTACTTTGAAAAAGCTCCCTGTTGATGTCCCAAGAACTCTGACTGGCATAGGGATGATATCGCACTGGCTGTTGTTAATAAAGTCTGGTCTTTTGATATCTCTTTTATATAAGGAGGATCTGCTAAGAGAAAGAAAAAAGTATACTTACTTTCTGATAAGATGGAATTGACTTGAACTGGCAGCAGCGATTTTTCCAGGTCGTGCATCTTTTTGGCAGGGAAATTGTTTAGATATATCCCGATTTTCACAAGGACAGGTGCTCTAAACAATCTACATAATTAATGTACGAGTACTCCTGGAAATACTAAACTTACATGTTTAGTTTATAAATTTTTCATTGTGCTTGTCAAGATAATTTAGCTTCAGTCTTTTTCACTATTAAAGCATATATTCCTTGATACATGGAATACAGTTTTCTAATGTTACAGTTTTTTTAGCTCACCTGAGCCGAAGGCTCAAGTGAGCTTTTCTGATCACATTTTGTCCGGCGTCCGTCTGTCTGTCTGTAAACTTTTCACATTTTCGACTTCTTCTCAAGAACCGCTGGGCCAATTTCAACCAAACTTGCCACAAAGTATCCTTGGGTGAAGGGGATTCAAGTTTGTTCAAATGAAGGGCCACGCCCCTATTCAAGGGGAGATAATTGGGAATTAATGAAAATTTAGTGGTATATTTTAAAAATCTTCTTCTCAAGAACCACTGTGCCAGTAAAGATGAAACTTATGGGGAAACATCCTCAGGTAGTGTAAATTCAAGTTTGTTCAAATCATGACCCCCGGGGGTAGGGCGGGGCCAAAATAGCCGACCAATATTTTACATAGAAATATATTGGAAAATTCTTTAAAAACCTCTTCTCAAGAATGACAAAGCCATTATTCATCATATTTATATGGAAGCATGTTCAGGTAGTGTAGATTCAATTTTGTTCAAATCATGACCCCCGGGGGTAGAGCGGGGCCAAAATGGCCGACCAAAGTTTTACATTGAAATATATAGGAAAATTCTTTAAAAATCTTCTTCTCAAGAATGACAAAGCCATAATTCATCATATATATATGGAAGCATGCTCAGGTAGTGTGGATTCAAGTTTCTTCAAATCATGACCCCCGGGGGTAGGGCTGGGCCAAAATGGCCGACCAAAGTTTTACATCGAAATATACGCGGGTATGTTAAGGAAGCATATAAGTCATTTTTTATGAAATTTAGACTTTTGAAAGAAAATTAAGTTTAAAAATTTACCAAAACTGCTGATAAACGTAAACTATTATAATCTGATGCATAAAGATAAAAGAGTGTCTAAAGCAATGACGTGCACCACCACCACGGCATCACGTGACTTCTATTAATAGCGAAATTTTCCTTAATAAAAAAGCTAACAGAACAACAATACCCCGGAGTTTGATGATTTCTTTGAGTAAATAATGCGGTTGAAAAACATCTATTTTGCCTAAAAAGTTTTGCTAGAATCCAACTGTCCCGTTATTAAAATAATTATTCCACACATTCCCAGGAAACCTTACCCGATGTTTTGATTTTTTACATATGAACCCTGATTTTTCATAAAACCATGCTTAACTCGGGATTCTAGCAGCACTTTCCAACTATTTTAGGAGGAAAACTTTCCATACAAATTTTATGTTTTGTAATATTCAGCTTATTGTTGTTCTGTTGCATTAATTTTGTCACAAATGACAGAGGAAAGGCCGACCGGTATACGTATATAGCTGACTGCCTTCGAAAGAGAATAAAATCGATTAAAATAAATTAGCATACCTGTTTTATTAACTGAACTCCATATGAATATCACAAGATATTAACAATATTTGCTGTTAAACTCCTTTAACGTGTCTCTGTATAGATAGTTTTCGATCACGTGACCTCCGCCCTCCCAAATAAGGACGGCGGCCATGTTGGAGGTATAACCGGAGGTCATTCAGTTAGTTCAGTCGAGCAGAAAATTATGTAAATATGGTGAACTTTTGTGCTATCATTGGCTGCTCGAACACCGCGGGGAGGGACAAAGTGTCATTCTATAGATTACCGGCAATAATAAACAATCAGGGGGAGAAAACGTATGAATTATCGGAAAAACGAAGGAGAATGTGGCTATCCCGAATAAGTAGGGCAGATTTGGCACCGTCTTCATATCCCTATGTGAGAATCTGCTCGGATCATTTCGTTACAGGTATGTAAATTAATTTTTGTTTTGGTGTTGAAATCAAGCATTGCAAGATAAATGAATATAGATAGTAGGCCCAATGTCCTTATTGTAATACACTAACAAGCTATGTCGTTTTCCTTTTTTGCGGAAACAGAAAACTTGAAATTTAGTAATGAAAATTATATGTTTGTAGACAATTTTATGTCATTTGATTTAAATTAATGAGCCAACAGATTAATATATGAATAGTATATTTAAAAATGTGTTTATTTTGTGTACTATTACAGAAAAGAAGGAAGGGATAAGAGAGATGTTTATTACTCAAAATTTTGTTTATTTACAGGAAAGCCTTCTTCTCTCTATCAAGACTGTGATCCAGACTGGGCACCTTCCAAAAACCTAGGCCATCAGAAAAGCCAGCCAGTGCAGCCTACACCAGACCGAACCATCAGAATAAAGGGCAGAGTAGAGAAGAAGAAATATTTTGAAGCAGCAAGGTCCTTGATTTCCTTATTCGAGAGCCGAGGAACTGAGGATGACGAGAACCCTCCTGAAGAACCTGAACAATCTTCAGAGTTAAGTACAACTAATGAAAGTGGCTTGTCATCACAGTCCGAACTGTGTCAGTGTGGAGTTACAATTTCTACTATGGAGACAGAAGTGAACCACCTAACTGTGGAAAACAATTCCCTGAAAGAACAACTAAAGAGTACTACCCTGACAGAGGAGACCTTCAGAAAAGATGATGAAAAAGTAAAGTCATTCACAGGCTTACCTTCCTTTGCCGTACTCATAACTCTTTATGCGTATGTGGAATCGGTTCTAGTACAGGGATATAACAGTGCACTTTCCAAGTTTCAGAAACTTATTCTGGTGCTGATGCGTTTAAAACTTAATTTACCAGTTCATTATTTAGCAGACAAATTTAGAATTTCATCTAGTACTGTGTCCAAGACATTTCTTATCACTCTGCATGCCATGTACATAAAACTACAACCACTTATTTACTGGCCAGCTCAAGAAGAGAGAAGAAAGACAATGCCAATGGAATTCAGGAAGTATTTTGGTTTAAAAGTAGCTGTGATCATTGATTGTTTTGAACTTTTTATCGAGAGACCCTCAAACTTGGAGGCAAGAGCCCAAACCTGGTCACAGTATAAGCATCACAATACTGTGAAGTTCCTGATTGGCATTTCTCCACAAGGTGTTATATCATTTATCAGTAACGGCTATGGTGGGCGTAGTCCAGACAAATTCATAACAAATGACTGTGGTTTTCTAGAGAAGTTAGAATACGGAGACATTGTACTCGCAGATAGAGGGTTCGACATTGCCGAAAGCCTGGCACAAGTTAGTTGTGAGTTGCGAATACCAGCTTTCACGAAGGGAAAAAGCCAGCTCTCAGCATTGGACGTTGAAAGGACCAGGAAATTGGCACATGTAAGAATACATGTGGAACGTGTCATTGGATTAGTACGCAACAAATACAAAATGTTACAGGACACTGTTCCATTAGACTATTTGGTGTCAACTGAGGGGTCGAGACCTACCATTGATAAAGTAGTGACAGTGTGTTGCGCTCTGACAAACATGTGTAAATCTGTAGTGCCATTTGAGTGATTCAACAAAGTTCAAACTGATTGATTGCCCATGTGTTCTCTATTACTGTGCATTCTATTGTGATATATATTATTATAATTTATTTATTGAACATGTTGAAATAGTTGATTCCTATTTGTATATGTACATGTATGTGCATTTTCGCGTAATTTGCTGTATTTTGTGTTGAAACAAGCTGGCCCAAGGACTGATTGCAACAATGAACTGTCAGATTAATAATTCTTTAAATGTAGTCAGATATAAATGTAGATCTGGTACCTAAATTTATGTTCCACACTGTTCTACTCAATATATGCTATTCACAATACATAATAAAAGTTTCTCTCTAAATTGTCTTTTTCATTTGACCAGGAATAATTAAATTTCATGACATAGGATGAACTCATTTAATTGCTTTAGTACTATGCAAGTCATTTGAAATCTTAAAATTGAGCTATGTAGACTGGACCATGACTGGTTTATATATAGCTTTTCCATAGGAAAATGGTAACTGCAACTCTCTTTTAAAAAATTACTTGAAGTTGCTGACTGATCATTTTTCCCAGATCCAAGCATTTCTTAAGATATGGCTTGGTACCATATTAATTATCCCTCTTTTAAAATAAGTACTGTATATCTACTCAAGAAAAATGTAAGTCAGCAACTACTAGGAATTTTTTAAAAAGACTGACCTTGTGTCAATTTGTTGATTTCTAAACTGTGCAGATAATTTATCAAGAAAACTTCAATGATTATATCATTTATTATGATTGACAATGCAAAGATGAAGAACATCATTAACTTAGAACTGCTTCTAAAGTAATTGGAACAAGATGAAAAAAAAATCAAATATTCCCTATGATTATAGTAAACACACACTGATACAATCATCAATTATTTGAATGTCACAAGGTAAAGAATTTCATAAATACAATAAATTAATATCATACATGATAATTATTAATTGACTACTGATTGAAATTCACAGTTTTTGTTCAGGCACAGAATTATTTTTTCTAAATGACACATCACTTCCTGACACACTTTCTCTTGCTGCGGAACTCTGGAAGGCGACTACAATCTGGACAGTACCATTTACCTTTTGGCAATTTTGACTTGGTTAGTTTTAGGCAAGCTAAATGGAACCATTGATAAGAACAGTTTTGGTTATCACAGGCCACCATAGTATCAGTTTCGCCTCCCCTGCAAATGCAGAAAACATCATTACTGGTAGTTGCGTGATCCGTGTTGTTGTCCTGTCGCACTGCCAAAGGAACAGGCATATTCTGGCGCGTATAGAACCTACCAACTAGCTCGGGCATCACTGCCATTTGGTGAAAGTTTGCCGCTTTCATTTTCATCTCATCCCACAATTCACTGTTTGCCTGTAGTCTCTCCATATAAATCTCCTTCTCTGTCCACACAACAAAATCGGCATAATCTTTGTCACACAAGTGGATTTGTGCCTGCACTTGGTAATAATATGGATGGTTTTGCTTTAATCGACGCCCAGTTGCAGTTTCTTCGAGGCAAGAATTCTTTTCCTTCCAAGCGTCAAGAGAGGAGAATCGCACACAAAAGGGACATTTTATCTCCAAGACTCCTTGCCCACAACAGTCACAGGACACAAGACCATCAGGTGAAGCACCAAATAAAGGATACTCGGGGTGGAGGAAAAGTCCTGTTGTTTCCACTGTGAAATTGGAATGGAACCTTCTCATGCCCTCACAATAGGCTTCACGTGCATCCTTCTCGTGATCACATCCCCATGCAGTAGCTTTTGATTGGAACTTTGTTGTCTCTGGGTAGCAAATAGCTCTCACTAGACTCTCAGAGGGTGCTGCTGGACTACTGTGACACACTGCATGCATCCTAGAAGCTGTGATACGTCCGCATCTGAATCGATTCCACAGTTTATTTTCAGCTTGCTGTCTAGTTGCCTCTTCAACATTCTCAGCTTCTTCTTTTGACACCGTTACTTTCACATTTGCACAATGTTTCATAATGTCACTGTAATTTGCACGAAGCAAATCATCCTCCACGAGATCACTTAGCAATTGTGGAAATTTTTCTTTTACAGCTTGTGGAATGAATGGTTGTTGGAAAGGGTCACGAATACTCAGAATGGCTGACTGTGCTCCGGTCAAACTTAACTTCTGTAAGAAATCATTCAACTCATTTTCAGTGGGTGGCTCCACCAATCTATGTTGCATACCACCCCGTCTTGCCGTAGGTGTGTCACTGAATTGACTGTCCACTAACTTCTTCTTTGATTTTGCAGATGTGAAGTCAATGTTTTCAATTTTGGCATACTGTACACCTTTCAATGATGCTGGCAGCCAGTAGGCTTTAGTGTCAGTAACAGTTCTTGATTCCCTCACTTTCACTGTTGCCTCAATAGAAAACAACATAGCTGCAATATGTGTACAGGCTTCTCCCAACCCTGCCATACAATTACAATGAGCAGCTAAAACTTTTCCCTCTTCCTGAATTATGGCCCATGGACTCAGTGGGGTCTCACTCAATCGTTGTGAATGCATAACCTAGAAAGAGGTCAAGAGATTATAGAGTATGTTTTTAAAATAATTTATTTTCATAATGGTTTAATATTTTTAAATAAAATTATATATATGAAACATTAAGTTCAAAAATGCATGTACATTAATTAATTGCCATTAGGCCTAAGTACTGATGCCCCATACCACAATATGATACATATGTATATATACATTGAAGAGTCTATGTCTATTCTATGTACATGTTTATATAGGTATGTCTAAATGTTTTGTTTTTTTTTTCCTTTTTCTGTCAACTATATTTTAGGCCTTTCTCTTGTAAGTTTATACTCTTTATGCTCATTTGGGCACTGAATTAGTAATAAAACATATCTTATCTTATCTCTATGAAATATAAACATCAGAAACACTGAGTACTGAGCTAGGATGCATTAAAATGTATGCTCCATCTAAAATGTCTTACAGTTGAGTCTATAAGGTTATATTTTTGTTTTTGTCATTGGTTTATGTACACTGAATGAGCACTATTGAAAGGGTTTTTTTTTTTATTAGAACCAGTATTATAAACATTCGTTATTTTGTTACATTTCAAAACAATAATCAGTAATTATAATAATGATAATAAGTCATCATGGTCATGTGATGAGAAAATTCAAGACCTATTTAACAGTTACCTTGCATGTGTGTAGGCACAGGCCGTTGATCTCACAGACGGAGACATCCCGAACCCATCCACTTACAAATTGGTTGTATGATTCCAACCCCTTGTACGACTTTAGCTGGTCCAAGGTATATGCACTCGTACTAAATAACAAAAAGTTCACAATATCTGGGTACGTAACACTGGCCCATTTTTCAATGTCTTTCGACCAGTTCTGCTTCTCGATGGTAGAGGGATCTTTCTTATCAATCAAGGCTATCTTATCGTCATATCTTTGCTTAGAAATTTTATCGAGTTGATCACGGTAAGTCTCTGTACATTTTTCAGCTTTCGACGCCATTTAACACGCTTGTAAAGTTGTAAACACAAAACTATATTTAACCTTATTATGTAAACTCCACCTCCGGTTATACCTCCAACATGGCCGCCGTCCTTATTTGGGAGGGCGGAGGTCACGTGATCGAAAACTATCTATATGCGGTATTAGCCAAATTCTCTTTACACGGCATGATCCATTCCCAAGTTACTTGATGTACACATATGACGTCATCGGTGGTAGATTTTAATCAAAATGATAGAATACAGCATTACAAAATAAAAGCATTTTATTTTTGTTAATGTTGACAGGTTTCTATTCATTTTCTGGAGTTAAATTACAGCTCTAAATACCAATATTACGAAAACTTGTGTTTTAAAATTGACGTCATCTCGCCTACAATGACGTCATAATGTAGCACTGATTTAGTCAAGGTAGAATATTTTGTATGCTTCCTTATTCCCCCTGCGTATAGGAAAATTCTTCAAAAATCTTCTTCTCAAGAATGACAAAGCCATTATTCATCATATTTATATGGAAACATGCTCAGGTAGTGTAGATTCAAGTTTGTTCAAATCATGACCCCCGGGGGTAGGGCGGGGCCAAAATGGCGGACCAAAGTTTTACATAGAAATATATAGGAAAATTCTTTAAAAATCTTCTTCTCAAGAATGACAAAGCCATAATTCATCATATTTATATGGAAGCATGCTCAGGTAGTGTAGATTCAAGTTTGTTCAAATCATGACCCCCGGGGGTAGGGCGTGGCCAAAATGGCCGACCAAGGTTTTACATAGAAATATATAGGAAAATTCTTTAAAAATCTTCTCAAGAATGACAAAGCCATAATTCATCATATTTATATGGGAGCATGCTCAGGTAGTGTAAATTCAAGTTTGTTCAAATCATGACCCCGGGGGGTAGGGCGGGGCCAAAATGGCCGACCAATGTTTTACATAGAAATATATAGGAAAATTCTTTAAAAATCTTCTTCTCAAGAATTACAAAGCCATAATTCATCATATATATATGGAAGCATGCTCAGGTAGTGTAGATTCAAGTTTGTTCAAATCATGACCCCCGGGGGTAGGGCGTGGCAAAAATGGCCGACCAAGGTTTTACAAAGAGATATATAGGAAAATTTAATTCTTTAAAAATCTTCTTCTCAAGAATGACAAAGCCATTATTTATCATATTTATATGGAAGCATGTTCAGGTAGTGTAGATTCAAGTTTGTTCAAATCATGACCCCCGGGGGTAGGGCGATGCCAAAATGGCCGACCAAAGTTTTACATAGAAATATTTAGCAAAATTCTTTAAAAATCTTCTACTCAATCATTTTCTAAAAAATAGCAAATCCATGATTGGTCATAGGACTACTTTTGGATTTAAACTTTACAATAAAAAGCCATTTTATACTAGTCCTACCCGTGGTGCTCAGGTGAGCGATGTAGCCCATGGGCCTTTTGTTTCTGTTTTATATCATTTAGAAAGAAAGGTATTTAGAGAGAATAATATTATTTTTGAGAGAGGGAGAAATTATCACATATATTTAGTTAATTTATTACCCAGGAGCAGAGAAGAAGATTTTCAAAAAATTCATTTATTTTCACTATATAATCAATTGAGCCCCGCCCTAACACTAGAACCCCTGACTCTGGGGTCATAAAATTCACAATTTTGGTAGAGGCACTCTTGCTCTACACTACTTCGCGGATAATACTAAGTAAAGCGTAAACTGACCCAAACCAGATAATACTCGATAATATGGCCAAGTATTAAGAGTCATTATTTATAATCCGCTTCCCTGATAATAAAGCACGAATAATAATTTTTTTTCTTCGAGTTTTATTGTTACCATCAAGGTTGAAGTTAGAATAAAATTAGCTTAAAATTTTAAATCTTTCAAGTTAGTAAGCAACTTTTTAACAAGATGGAGCAGTCTGATGTTTGCAATATCACTATACAAAGTGCTAATCGAAAATCGACTTGGTTTGGATCACTTGCAATTTTGCTTTGGGTACTCTGGTGCATTGTGGGTTAAAAAGAAATTTCGGCGGGCAAAAAATGGGCAAACTTTATTTAGCATTTTGAAAAAATCTGAAACCTTTATAGAATCATTGTAGATGTTTTGGGGGAGAGCAATCGGAGAAGTTACATATTAGATCCAAAGTTCATTGTCGATTTGCCCCCATGCCATAGAACTATTTCTTGCCTTCTTAAGCCTAAATTGCTCGTCGTACAATTTCCAGGCGGTGGTGGATCTATAAGAACCTAGTCTAACCGTGTGCGTATATTTAAGTTAGCCAAGTGATCGATCGGGGTGAGCTTCGACGTTAATACTAGTAAATATAAGGACCGCGTCGGTCCATTTCCCGACATCGCTGATTTTGCCACTTTTCCCCTTTTGTAAGACCAGTTCCACGTCCACTAGGTTTATCTTATTTTTCTTGTCCCTTTCTTCCGACATTTCCAACAAGACGCCCAGATCTAAATACCCCTAATTTTGTATTTTTTCGCGTGTGTTTGAAGGGATGGTGCAACCCAATGCATCAATAACACTAACTATAGGCGTAGTTAAGTAGTCAGACTTGCCTACTGAGCTAACAGACTCGTTAATGTCCACTTCCATGCTGTGAGTAGTACTGTTGTCATTTTCCCCCTCTATTTGGTGGGATTTGGTGGAATTTTTTTCTTTTCTGATGGACTTTTTGCGGATGTAACCACAGTTGCGGATGACTTGCGCTTGGACAACTCTCCAAAGAAAGTATTAAAAAAGATTTCTCAAATTTAGCAGCACTGAAATTAAGACGTGTATCCTCTAGGGTATTTAATAATTGACTGTCCTAATGCTTTGCGCGTACCGCATGGGGTGCTGTGATAAATGGATTAATATCGTATTTATTGCATAAATCCGATTATTGCAACTGCTTATAACATAAAATATCGTTATAAAAATTTCGAATTCTTTTATATATTTTTTTATATGATACATTTAATAAATGAATTGCTTTTAAATGAATTGATAAGAAACAGAAACTCAAGCACGTAGATGCTTTATTCTCAAAAGTGCACATATTCGGAATAATATTCATGATTATTCGTAGCTGCAACACTGTAGCTCTCTGAGAAAATTCGGACAGATAAACTAGAGAGCTACAGATCCAAGCATTGTAAACACCTTCGATTAATGCCGACGATTTTTTTCTTTCTTCACTACGGGCATTTTTTCTTGTATTTTATACCTTCCCAGCTTTGAAATTTATTTTAAATGGTATTTAACAATAAATCATTCATTAAACTTCAATTCCTGATCATTTACTTACCTCTAAACGCTAACAAATGGCTGCATGTTTGCGGTTACGGACGTCGAAAGGAAACATTACAAAAGTATATACAAGGCTGTTTCGGACTGTTAAAAGGGAAATAAAGTATCAAATATAAGAGTTTTTTTAATAATATTTGGTATTATAGGATACCATTCTAAAAGACAGAGAAAGCTTAAGACAACACGAAATAAATACCTACAGTAGCGACAAAAATCGTCGGCGTAAATCGAAGGTTTTACAACGCTTGGATCTGTAGCTCTCTGCTTTATCTGTCCGAATGTTCTCAACCAGAGGGCTACAGTTCTGCAGCTTGTATTGGGTCTGTTCACCCTATAAATCTCTTCGCATAGTCCGCTCTCCTTCGATCATGATAAATTTCTGAAATACAACACTTGCATTATCTTTGTAATTTAGTTTTTGGAGTCTCAGCTAGATACAGGATGTGATACAGATTAGACCGTGGAGATAATAAGATGCTGAACATGTAATTTATTTTTTCCCTAGTTCAGTTTTCTTTAATTTTATATACTAGTATCCTGTTCCGAGTTCAAAGTCGGATGAGTAAAGGTCTGCTCAAATGTAGCATGTCTGTAAAAAAAAATGTTTTTTTTTAGAAGTCCATTGTAGTAAGATGGGGAATCCCCCAGTTTTCACTTATTTCTCAGTTACTGTAAACGAAGTTTTAATCGTGACGACTTTATTTCACGATTAACTAGGGATAAACAAGTTCGCAGCGATTTGTTATCGCGATTTAGCCTTTTTTGGATCTGTCGTTAATAGAAAAATACACTTTCAGGACCGGTTCGCGGCGGGAAATATTCGTGATGACGAGGCTTTTGCGAACAATTGCGAACATTTCTCGCAGGCGAATAAAAGTTGGTTTACAGTATAAAATTGTTACATCGGGTGAAGTGATTAAATTAAAATACCTACTTACAATTTGAAACTGATAACATAGTCCTGGTAATAAGAATCATATTTATAATTTATGGAAGTTCTGATCCAGGAAAATTTTCCAGGGGTCCCCGGTCGAAAAAAAATTTCCAACCGGGAAATTTCTTGACAAGCTAATAAAAACTTGTGTGTGTGTGTGTGTGTGGGGGGGGGGGGGTGATGGGCTAGTCGTTGACTTTTAAAGCTCCATATTTGTAATTTTTTCTTCAATTTCACATAGATCCACATTTTTGAGGCATCTGCATTTCAGGGGAGGGAGAGGGGTCTGGACAGAATTTCACTGATGCACCTACATTTGGGTAGACGGCAATAAATCTGGAATATATATATATGGGACCGTTTAAATTTTTAAATAACAAATTCTAATGTAGAATGCAATAAACAAGCTGTTACATTTTTTAACTGCATGACAAAACATGTATGAAATCTTTTCAATGGTCTGTAACGATAGCATCATTCAATACTACCACGAGATGTTTGTCCATATGGTTTGTCTATCAGATGACAGGATCCAAGTAGAATTCTTCTTAGTTCAGGCCTGCAGGGGAAGCAATTTCATTTGGAGGGGGGAGGGGGGCACAGTCACATTTCTTCAGCTGGGGTCACTAGAAGTTTCCTCGACAAGAAAAAAATTCCTCAAACGTATATATTGAAGGGACACAAGCAAATACATGAACATGAACCTGAAACACAATACACAAAAATTATTTCACTGTAATGAACCTTTTCCCGACAAGAGACTTGGATCTTC